CATCTTGTTTTATGCTTAAGTCACACACTTGAGAACGGCCTCATACAATATCAACTTCTAAGGTCCTCAGAAGACCTTCGCTGTCGGGCTGAAGATCCAAGGTAAAAACGATCTGACCATGCAATGGACCACATACGATGGAAAAATCCCTGTTCCATCACGTGTCTGCGCTGAGAAACAGAATCTTTATTTTTGCTCTCCATTTTTTAGACGCTAAATTTTCCATCGAACAGACTCGAGAAAACCGTCCAGAACTCAGAAAGTAAAAGTCCTAGAAAGCTCAAGATTTGAATTTATAGCTTTTCACACATGCTGAACAAGATAGGACTAGTTAAAAGCAAATCTGAGACATCGATTGAGAATGACTTGTTGTTTCTCTCGTGCAATGACTCATAGGCACACATACGATAATTAAAACAGTTTTTGATAGATGACGTATGATTTTTTGTTACAGAAACGGTTCAGTGTAATGTGTATGCGTGTATCAAATAATTCTATGTGTGAGTAGACGGATATATTTAATCTTAATCGTGCCTATTTGAACAAGTAGTATGACTGTTTCTCACCTATTCCAATGCGGTACTTAGCTACACTAGCAGCATCTCAAAGTAACTCTTATACAAGAAAAGTTTCACTGATAGCGAGACAGGGACCGACCTAGCAAGATCTTATTTTTAATAGTGGTTGTAGGATAGATCCTACAAGAAAGAAGAGAATGATCAAGGAGAAAATCTACTAGTATATTTGCATTAAAAGAGGAGTAGTGAAACATTTTATTATTCACAATAAATGAATTTTCTGTTTCTCCGTATTTATATGTAGAGATGCTGTGTGAAACTAGTATCTTCACATTGAATAATTAACATACTTCATAAGTGACTGCAACTTACTCTCAAAACTCCCCAAATTTTGCAGCTAAGTTGTATAAAATATGAAAAGCTACTAGCTAAAGTTGGTTCAATAAGAAAATGAGACAATGTCGGTACTCACCATCGTCGATATAGGCCTATTTTGAGGTAAAGCAGCCATTTTTCAATCCAATGTTTAATGATGAAGATGAAGATTGAAAGAGAGATAATAATAAAACCTCTACAAAAAGTAGACGACATTTCATTTTACGAATGTGAACTCCTTTTTCATGCAGAAAAACGTCATTTTTAACGTATCATCTGTACGATAAAATCCGGAGCAAGAAAACTGTATCTATGACGAATATCGTTAACAATCAATATTTTCTTGTAAAATATTTATCAGATCATTCTCCCTCTTTCTCTCGTTCACGTTCCCAATCGTTAAAAATAATTAGCTCCTCTTCACATATCAACAAATTCTTATCATAAACTTTCTTTCTCTCTCTCTCTCTCTTTGTACGTATTTATCGAAATTGTAAACAACAAATTTGAAAAGAAGGTAAGTTTTAAAAACCATGAAAAGGTAGATGTTTTTGACAAACAAAGAAAGAAGATGTATTTATCACATGTATATATTTTTATATTCGTTTAATGGAAGAAAAATATTCATGCGATATCGAACTATCGCACAAAAATTTACATATTCAGTATCAAAGATATTTATTTGTACTGACATAAAAAACAAATCATACATGCATATAGACTCTTCAAAAGATTTTTTTGTGCTCCTCGTTGTTTTTAAATGTCAGAATGTTCATCATCAAAAAAAACATGTTCTTAGAAAGAGAGCAATTTCTATTCTTAATTTAAGATACAATCTTCAACTGCAAATATAAATAGACGTTGAAGAAAAACATTATTTAAAAATATGAATATATCATGACTTACACACACATATCTACATATCTGTATTTGTAGACAAGTCGATAATCAGTGCTTTATGTTTATGCAATACTTTTTTTCTGCATAACAGTGGCATCAATAGTAAAACGGTCATTAGCACAAAAAACAGTACAAACAGAACGTAAAACGAAAAACTGAGTATAGAGGAATTTTCAAATGTTTTTCATATAATACAAAACATCATAGGTCTGTTGTGGGTCTTTTTCGAAAGTGTTCTACTGAAAAGAATAGAAATTGTCCCTCACATTAATATGTTATGTTAAACAATGGATAGTACGATGCAAGGTTTCCGATGAGCTTTAGAGTGGGAGTGACTATTGTTTGGCAGAAATCAGGTCCGAACATTTGGGCAGAAAGTCAGTTTTTTTCCTATTGAGATAAATAATAAAAATTTTAATCTCACTGTCTTTGTAGAAAACACTAAGATGCCTCCCTCTCCCGTTACATTATTTTACTTTTCATAAATTGAAGTCTCTCTTGTTAAAGTATATTAGATCAGGAAAGAAAACGTAAGATATACCCTTATTTGATAGGGTTCTAATATTAACTTAGATAGAAAAAAGAAAGTACGCAGAAAAAGAGAAATAAGGTGTACAACTGACGTTTTACCATTAAACGATGCAGTAAGGTTGAAAATTAGACTTTATTGGTTTTGTCAAACTCTTCCGATTAGTCTAATTGTTGCAATAGGCGGATAATATAGCACACTATAACTAGCGCGAAAAATTCTTCTCTTACTAGCAAGTCTCCAAAAAGTCTTCATTGAAAGTCATCAAATTAGGGGGAAAAAAGCACCCCATCCCTTCCCTAATCGGGAACTCTGGTACGGCGCATCAGAAAAGATAGAACAAGAAATCGACCATGGCGTTTTTGATGCTGATGAAAGCAATGTGCGTTATTCTCATATAACTCGGACTTTTAGTGGTATTAGCGACAATGATGTATTTTTTTAAGTCTATTACAACTTAGAAAAAATTGGGTTCAGATTATACGATCTTCGTCTTTTTCATGCAGGCGGGATCGATGACTGCAAATCCGACGATAGATTAAAGCAAAAAATATCTCAAGTATTTTTCAACATTTGCCACTAGATGGAACACGTTATAAGTAGAAAATTCCCAAAAAATTTCGTCGGACCTCTTGTCCAGGTTTGGTAATTATTATTTAACAAGAACATTCTTTCTTTCTATTCAAACTGCTATTCATTTCAAAATATGAGGCACTCGGATGTTTCTTCTGAACTAAACGAGATAGAAACTTGCAGTTTCCAGTAATCGATAAAGGATACCGGGGGACATGATTCTGTGAATAAATGCGGTTCATGCAAAACATCTATCCCGATGTATCTGTCGACTGAAAATCTGGGACATCTGACCTCCACCAAAAGCGCGTCGAATTTTTGATTCTGTGATGTGAACTCGATTCAGGGAACTGTCCACTTTAATTCTATGCAATATTCAAGTCTCTATCTACCATGGTTCGGACGCTATAAGGTTTTTCCGAGGACCTACCTACCGGCTAAACTTCATGTTTGAGAACTCCCAAAACACATGAAACATAGGTTATCGACCATTCTGACTCGCGCGGCAATGTTGGTTTGTCGAAAAAAAAATCCAAAAACTTAGTGAAAACCTATATGATGTGAAATAATCCAATTTTGCCTGTTTTTACGTAAAATTAGAAAATTCATAACTCAGTTAAAATCGATCCAAACTATGTCTGTATATGAAGATATACTCTATTATATCTGCTCAATATGATTCTGTAGTTAAGACTAGTAAAAAGTATTCTCTGACTACTGAAGACCTATAGAAACCCATCTCAAAGACCAAAGTAGCTTTTATTGATTTTTAAAAGGTGTGTTAAATTGCATGATATAGTGTAGATAAAATGGAGTATACTTTGATATTCCGACATAGTTTACATCATTTTTGACTAAGTTTTTTTTCTTTCTTTTCTATTTATAACCTGTTCTATCTAGTGTTGAAAAATACTTGAGCTATTTTTTATTTTGATGCAATAAGACCAGTATAAGTTTGATTTTATGAAAAGTTCTTCCCTAATAGAAATTTAAAAACTTGTATAAAGTCATCAAATTATAACAACATGAATCGTGAGTGAATAGATTGTTTTATGAAGTTCAACCAAGTAAAATATATGAACATGTATTTTCTAACATAAAAAATATTTACTATAATATGCGCATTGTTTAAACTCTAAAATAAATTTTGATCGTAATAGACAAAAAGTTTTGTTAAAAATATTTTTCTTTTATAAAAGAAAAATGCACAATATTTTAAAACTACATTTAGCATGTGAGCATACTCGATTTTAATGATGGCAGTGATTTGTCATGGTAACATGACTAAAAACACATTGTCTATTCTTCTAAGATAATAAATTAGTGTTTGTATGAACAACAGTAAGTTTTAAATTATCGTCCCTTAGTCCTTGTTTAATTAATAGAAGAACATCAGTAAAATCGACGTTTTCCACTGCAACACCATTAACACTAATAATACGATCATTTTTTTTTAATCCAGCTCTTTCACCCGGCGATTTTGGTTCAACCTCTTTAATAAAATGATTTAAACATGTTTGAGAGTCGGCCGATATATAAATACCAAGTCCATCATATGATTTTGTACGTTTCAATGTATAGTGTCGCGGTTTATTCAGTTGTACAGGAGATAAATTCTCTAAGAGTAAAAAATAAACAGAAATTAAAATATTATTTTACAAATGAAATAATTCAAACACACCCTGATTTTTTGTAATGTCATGATATGAAAAAGATTTACTGTTCCAGTTACTTTCAACATTATCCACAGAACTAATTTTTCCATCAAGTCGATATTTATCTTCGTTAACACTGGAATTATAGTCTAAAGTTTGTAAAGGATGTAAATCTGTTAAAGCAGGGCGTTTATAATGTTTATCATTTATTTTATTGTATGAACCTAGAAGAAAAAAAGAGAAAAAAACATCAATAAACTATTCGATTCTGTAAAATATTACCCGTTTTTAATCGATAATCATGCACATTACTCTCCTTTTGATTCGGTTTACCGTAGTGTATAACACCATTATCAATTTCATATGTCACTTCGTAACGTTCCGTATAAGTTTTATCATCTTCTGCCTGTACTTCTTTTTGTCTAGGACTATAACGATTTTCAATTTCATTAACACCTTTATATCGTTGATCGATACTTCTATAGTGATCATCTTGATAAACAATATCCGGTACACGTTCCATTGTATCAACTCTATCATTTATTTTTTGAAAATTCATATTAACATAGGGTTCTCGATATATATTTATGTCATCTGTTACATCTGTTTCGTACAGATTCAGACGTTTATCACTGTTGTCAGTATTTAATAATTTCCATGTTTTTGTTTCATCGGGTCTTCGATAATTGTACGAATAAGGATCCGTTTTTTCATACTCGTATTTGTGTTTCACATAATCATACTCATCATCGATTCGTGGAATATGCTTATCTTTTATATCAATGATTTTTGTTGTTCGATACATTTCTGGTGAATAACGATCGGTTTCTTGTTTTGGTTTTTGAATGTAAGGATCAGTATAATAGAATTTATCCGACAATGTTCTATTATCCAAATCTTTTATTTTTTTTCTAGTAATACTAATATCAGGTGATACGGATAATGGTGGTGTTTGTATACGATGTTGATAATATGATCCATCAAGCATCTCGGTCGATGTTGTATATCTTTGAGGTGAATGTGTTTTCTTAACTAATGTTGGCGATGAGCCATAGTTGGCTGCAGTAGTGGTCATAACTTCATAACGATCAACTACTATCTCGCGTGGTTTGGGCTCTTGTTTTAAGGATGCACGGCTAAAATGATGTTGAACGATTGCTTCGAGACCACCGTAATGATCTAAAAAGCCCATATTTCATGTAAAATGGTTGAAGTCAATTCTTAGATACGTTGCTGAAATATTTATTGTTCACGACTCTCATAACACATTATTTGTTAGTACTTAGTATACTGGAAAATTACGTTGCTCGATCAGCAGACATACAGTAAGTAAGTTTGTATAGATATACACTGTTATCAAAATAGTCGAACTACTATTGTACCAACTTCAAGAGAAAATCAAAACAAAGAATATACATTACCTGTAGTCTGTGGTCTCGTATCTGGAATATATTGTGGAACTGTGTATCTTGCAGGTCGATTATTTTCAATACTTGACAGGATTTCTGCATCGGGCAATGACCCATAGATAGATGGATGAATATTTTTGTTAACTATACTTTGTATCGTAGTCATTGATGACGTTTTATCTCTCGTGCTATTTGATTTATCTCGTTTTTCCTTTTTTTGTCGTCCTAATGCAAGTGTGGGTGGTACTAGTTTTGGTACATCGGCGTCAACGGATGACGATGTTGATCTCATATCTAAATCAGTACGTTTAATAGGTTGATCAACAGACGTACTTTTCCAATCGACTGGTTTTTTCATTACTAGAGCACCTATGCCGCCGTAGCCTCTACCCAACGTTGGATCATTTATTCTAACATCACGATCGATTTGTTGTAATTGGCTATAACCATTTTCAACCACTCTTCTTCTTCCACCTGAAAGTGTAGGTGTGTTTAATGGCGACGGTATAACTTCAGTATCAGATATAATAATTGGAGATGATCGTGCTGATCCTTTAAATGCGACGCTATTATCATACGTCGGTATTGGTACATTATACTCTGACGATATTCTCGGACCACTATCGTAATATTTAACAGAGTTGGTACCTGGTTGATGGGATCCACGAAATGTTGGCGATTGATTCTCTAAATGAGATACTTTGTAAATGTGGTTGATACTTGTGTCGAATGAACGAGGTTTTTCGACCTCAATATTTTTTCGATAAATTGAACTGTCTGAACCGTACGGTACTGTTCGTGTTGGTTGTGATATCTCATACTCTCTGAATTTTGATTGACGATAAGGTAAATCAATTGGTTGTGTAGTTATTTCAACATCAGAATGTGTTAACTAAAAATTGAAAATGAGAAAAAGCTCAAGTTTTTTTAAACTAAAGAGAATCTATGATTTGTTTTCAGAAAAGGCAGTAGTGTTCAGATTTCATCAATGTCAGAACTCTATTATTCTTAAGAGAATTTTAGATGATGATGAGAATTCTGATAAGGAAAAATAAATCTGAAATCAAAGTTTTATGTTAAAAAGGAGTTTGAATTCAGAATCTACTTAATATCAAAATTATACTCTTCTAATCAGATTTTCCTGGAAAAATGAGAATTTTTACTAAGAAAAAAATACGTCTACTCGTGTGAATTCATGCTGTAATGCTAGCTAGTAGCAGAAATTGAAAGTGGTACAATTTCACTTGTCGTTGCTTTATTATGTTCTCTCTTTCACGTTCGGTTAGTTTCTGAAATTCTCAGTTCACTACATATTGAAAGTAAAATTCTTTCGATCACACAAAATTATAATATATAAAGTTTGAAAATTATTAAAATTTGGCTATTCCTCTCAAAGGATACATTGGCTGTTTCTCTTTTTAGTTACAGATAATCGAGTTTGTTGCTGAAAAAGAACAGTCATTTTTAGAATATTTCTTAGTATTGTCTTACATTCTTTCAATCAAGATACCCAAAAGGTAAGAGTGTAAGAAATGTTACTAATAATCAAGTGTTATACACGAAAAAAACGAATGAATGATTAAAAGTTTTCGAAAATCCGCCGGTAAGAACTTGAAAAAAACCACTTCTTTCTATTTCATGACTGACAATTGTCATTTGTTGATATTTTTTCCTCTCTTGTTTACCAAAAGGCGGATATCTTTCTACAAAAATAATCATTGTGTTAGTAAGTGTGCGGGGGTGCTAAGTGAATATGCAAAGTTAATTTTTTCTTCTTCTATACTGTATAAACAGAATCGAGCTGTATTTATATATGTATATAACTTAAACAACAAAATAATATGAAAATACAACATACCTCACATATTTTTGGTAATAAAGTGTCTTTAAATTCTTTTTTTTTTGTTTCATTTTAAATGCCACTCAAATTGTCAAATGGGAATAATAAGGAAAAAAACAATAAATTTCCTTAATCAAAGGACATATTGATGACACACATACGTCGAAGAAGAAAATAAATGTATACTTAAATTATCTAGTCAAAAATAACATGCTCTTTAAAATAATCAACGTTTCCAAAAAAAAAAACAGAACAATCCACTACCATGTTCATTTAGTTAAGACAACAATAAATCATAATCTTTTGCTGTTCAAATATTAAAGTTGTCTATTGGAAGAAAAAAAAGACGAAATCGGAAAAAAAATCAAGATTTTACGATAAAAATAAAGTTTTACAAAGACTTAACATTTACTCTAATTTATCCAAAGTATTATCAATTTTGTCTGAAATATTTTAAGTCACTAATAAAATTTTGAATTTATAACTTTCAAGTATTACAGAAGAAGTAAAACATTGACAGCTTCTTCATTATATATAAGTGGGAAACTTGAACTCATCTACCTATTTTTTGAGATTATATTTATCATTCAATAGCAATTGACTTTATGACGTTTCAAGAATGATAAAGTATGTGTTATGATAAAGATAAACTCTTCTCGTTTACCTATTCTCTCTTCTTCCTATACATGCACTACTATTATCCACTTATGTACACCAAAAAGTGAAGAATGTATATAAAAAATCATGTTCATAATGTTAGAAACCTATGCTTTATGGAATAAATATTTTCAAAAATCAATATTCTTTATAAAATTTAAATAAATCTCAAATAGTTTACCTTTTTATGGGTATCATTATGTGTATTATCGAGTTCCGCGTATCCTCTATATATATTTGTCGAATTATTATCTTGTATTCTTGTTTGTAAATCTGGACTATTTTGTATATATGTTTGTCCATAAATTTTTGACAATGAATTATTACCAGTATATGCACCTTGTGGATGTTGATAATGTTCAACATTAATTGGACTCGATATTTCAATAATATCTTGTTGTTTCTGTTTTGTTCGTTTATTTGGTTTTTTATTTTTTTTATTCTTATTTTGTTTAAATGGCCAATTCATTGTTGGCACTTTCAATTGTGGCGGATTAGTCTGATTGATATTCTGTGATGATGATGATGGTGGTGGTAATGAGGATGGATTTTTTCGTTTTTTATTCAATGATGTTGATGACGATGTGTTATCAACACGTACATCAGATTGAGATGTTTTAAATAAATCTCGGATTCTTTCACTTAGACTACGATGTTTTTCTGTTCCTCCTACAGAAGATGGGGGTATCCGATAGTTAATTGAATCAAATTGTTCAGTATTTCTTGTTGTCATGATTATTACCTAAAATACGAGAATAAAACATATACTCTAAAAGATCTATTATTTGTTCGATCATATAATTTATGAGTTATTATTATCCAAATTAATTAACTTTTCACTTTTTCTAATATAAAAATTTTTTTCTCAATTGTGATATAGAAATATCACAAAAAAAAAAAAAAAAAAGATTTCTTAACATGTTTAAAATATAAAAGTCATCATACTCACACGTCAATAATGTTTTAATTTAGAAGATGTGCATTATAAGTGGTCGTTGGATAAGCATCCAACATTAACATCTAAACTACTCTAGAAATAAAATATTAAAGAAAAAAAAAAAAAAGAACCCTATTGGCATCTCTTTACTAAAAAAAGAAAAATTAACTAAAACACGTTTTCTCTTCTTTCTATTTTCTCCTTTCTTTCATATTCGAAGGATTGTATTTTTTGAGTGGCGTTTTTTTATATTTATGGCGAGTAACAAACTGATATTACATAGCGTTTAAGTGATTAACAAATTTTATTTGTTCAAGTTTTGTTGAATTTGAATAACCTTTTTTTCTTCTTATATTTTTGTAGTTGTAGAACATATTTATAACTCAAGAAAGCCACATCATCCGAATAAAAAAATAAATGAGATATTATAATGCGGTTTTAGTATATAGGAGTAAATTGACGCTAATACAAAATCAAACTGATGGACGCGCTACATTTGAATAAAATAAATCAGCTTAAAAGTAATCGTCATAGAGGAAGGTAAAAAAAAGGAGTTGTATATTTTTTAGGAGTATGCTAAAAAAGAAAAAGCTAGAATAAAAAAGTGTATTTATTAGTTTATGTATCAGTTACAAAATGAATAAATCAGAAGAAGAAGAAGAAGAAGAAGAAGAAAAAAATGTGAATTGTTCTGAGAATCACAGCTCAAGTTTAATTGAGTGTGTATTACATAGACACAAAAATGAACTGATTAAGCGGATTAAAATAACTATTGCATCAGTTCGGCAATAAATTGTATAAAAAAATAAACACAATAACATAAGTTATATACATGTCAAAATAAAATAGCTAGAAAAGACATCTGACACATCAGTACAGCAAATCGATTCTAATTTTATATTAAAAAAAAATTTGTTTTCATCATAAAACGTCACTGATTGCACATGAAATATTTTTCGCGACTGAATATTTGAATGAATTGAATACCTTTGAATTTGAAAAATTTACATATTTTAATCTGTGAGTTATTTACGTTTTCTCATAAGCTAAGATTTTGATCTCAAATTTAGTAAAAAACAAAAATGTTTACATTTACAACAACTTTATTCGGTAAACTTGTTTTTGTAGCCAATTTTTCAAATTAGAAAAAAGTCTGATTCTGAAAAACTTCAAGTGTACAATATTTATTTTCTATGTGTTTATCTGATGATGCTATATGATAAAAGTAGTCAGACTAGTGAATTAATACTATTAAACGGTATTCAGATGAATTAGATCAATGAAATGGTTCACTAAGTACTATTAGAATATAAAAGGAAAAATAATCTTGTCAAAACTTTAAAATTCCTTAGTGTTAATAAGAGACTATTTTGCCTTTTCATTATTTTTCTGCGCATCTGTACAAGATGGGTGGATAAAATGAGCTTCTACATGCTGTCATAGCAGATCTTTCTTCACTATATTATATCTAACCCATTTTTACAAAATAAGAACAGATTCGTACATATTTCAAAACTAAATTGTAGTTGATTTAAATAAAAATTAGAATAACATATAAAAATTTGCATTAAACGATTATTAATACAAAAGAATACAAAATCTTAGGTGTTCTCATGCGATTTTAGTTAAGTTTTACGAATACTAGAAATGTGTATGAACAGTTTTTTCATTTTTCTATAAAAAAGTTCTATAGCAAAAGTTGAATAAGAACGTTTGGAAGTTTGAAAATTCCTGCGTTACCATTTCTATAAATTTTATATAGAATAGACGATTAAAAGGTTCATAGTAAAATATTACATAGGTAGAAAGATTAAATTCAAAGGATAACATACTTAAATGGTTTCGCATCACTCGATAAAAATTTAAATATATTAGAAAAATAAAATATTTTTTTCTTGCGGTACATCAATACGCTCTTCATTTGTCTGTAATTTCAAAATGAAAAGAAGTGTTTATTTATTTAATTTATATGAGATGGCTAAGAACAATAATAATACATTTTTCTGTCGTTTTTTTTTTTCTAGTTTTCTTTCTTGACTAATACTTCAGTTATAATAAAATTACTTATAAAAAAAAGTTTCAATTTTTTTTTTTTTTTTTTTTTTTTGGTATCGTTATTGACACGATCAATAAACGTATTCGAAAGAACATGAGTTTCGCTCTAAGAAAGCTATTTTATATTATTATTTAGTTATCAAAAGAATGTCTACATACTTTCC